ACATCGACATCCACATCCACATCCACATCTACATCTACATCTACATCCACATCCACATCCACATCTACATCCACATCTACATCCACATCCACATCCACATCTACATCCACATCTACATCCCCATCTACATCCACATCTACATCTGCCTCAACATCTGCCTCAACATTTACCTCTACTAGTTCTAGTAGCTCTAGTTGTAACTCTGGTAGCTCTAGCTCTAGCACTGCAGGTCATGTAGCTGTAGCTCATGTCGCTGTAGCTCATGTAGCTTTATCTGTAGCTTTAGTTGTACCCCTATAGCTGTACCTTTACTAGTTTTACCTTCAGCTGTACCTTTAGCTGTACCTTTAGCTGGTGTACTGTAGCAAAAGATATCCTTATCAATACCAATATATTTAGTATCACCAATAATATGTGAAAAATAAAGTAATACTATTACTTGTTGTAAAATCAGTACTACAACTACTACTGCTAAACTACTAGTACTACTTCTTTTTCTTAAACTATTTTGTTTTTGCTATTTCAGTAGTAGTAGAGGTTTCACTAGCACTACTGCTATTATCTCAAGTTTTATCACTAGATTTACATACCATGATAGCTAAAGCTACTATGCCTTGATTCAGCAGATCTAGAGCTAAAGGTAAAGCTAGATTTAGATTTAATGCTAGAGGTAGGGGCTACAACTATAGCTATAGCTATTTTAGCTACTAGAGGTAGAGGTACTAGAGCAATAATTAGAGCTAGAGCTAATGGTCAATTTGAGCATAATATCATACACACCAAGAACAATGTGTCTCAACCACGTCAAAAAGTTCTTTAGCTTGTTCCAACTTAGGTATATCAGGATCCTATTGGGCCTTTGTATTATTCAGTTTGATGCTTTTGTGATTGTGACAAAAGGGGCAGGTGCTGAAATTTTTGGATCCAACACAGAGGGTAGTGCTGCTGGTTGCTGGTTGCTGGTTGCTGATTGTTGATTGTTGATTGTTGATTGTTGATTGTTGATTGCTTCTTGTTGATTGCTTCTTGTTG